GAGCAAAGCAGCAGGAGTAATCTGGTAGCTCTGGTCTCCTGTTACCTTGGCATAGCAGGTTGGCAGTTGGGTAGCCTGGCATATTGTCAGTCTATTCTTCTTTTCATACATCAATCAGCTAGAGAGTGGTCATAAAGTGTCCTCACATAGATCAAACCCTATCCCCATAAGGGGCTGGAACCTTGTCTATCCTTGCAAAGAATACTAGGTGAGCTGAAACACTGCAGTTGTTTTCTGTAAAGTCTAGTTTACGTCTCCCAGGAGCTCCTAGTTATTGTATTTAATATTTTTTTTCTCTTTTGGGAAAAAAGGAAAAAAAGAAAAAAAYAATATAAGCAGAAGTGTTGCAAAGATGTAAAGAGCAAATATAAGCATTTGTACATTTTAAYTTCCACACCCCACCTTGATGTTAACTTTTAAAGATCAAAGTTAAATAGCAATTTTGAATCACCACAGACACTTAATTAGCAGTCATATCTGCCAACTGGATCATAATAATCCTTCATGATATCTTTCTATAATTTTGAGTTATCAGTGACTAAAGAACAGGTTTAATTAACATCAAGAAACATCCAGAAGACCAGACTCAAAGTATACCAACCTGTCTGCAACAATGTAGTACTATATAAACTTCCAATCTCCTTAATGCATTTATTTTCTGATACAAAAAGGCTGAGGAAGTATAAAAAACTAACATGCTGCTGCTTTGGAAAAGCAGGTTCCAAACACGACTTATCTCACACTTCTACCTGATTCTTCTGACAAAGACGACACTTTGGAGGAAGAGCTTTTCATGAAAACAGAGATTAAATAGGCTGATTTTAATCCTGAATGTGCCTAAATAGCACAGATAGTCTTACCTACTCAGGCATTGTTTGTAAAAGTATTTTATTACAGATGGATAAATATTACAGATGGATAGAAAATAGAGCTTTCAGTTCACTGGAAACTGCAACATACTCATGTCACAAAGTGGATTCTATATTTCGAAATTCTGATTTTTTTGCTACACAATCAAAAACATTATGCTGCAGAAATGTTTTCACAATGCCAAAAATCCATATTCTACTATATGAAATCGCATATAGTAACTAGTAAATAATTTTCCCACAAAATTCAAAACTGTGTGCTCTAAAAGGAGACTGGGGAACATGACAGTWTCATCAGCTTTAGTGGGTACACAAGTGGACAGTAAACCCAATAGTCAGGGACATTCACAATACATTAATCACAGGTGCTGCAGAGAGTGAGGAAAATGGACTGCAGAAAGTGGACAGACTCTCCTTCAACAGCATCTTCTAGGGCCACCATAGCAGACAGTCCTGGGCTACCTGGACCATTGGTCTGACTCAGTAGGATATCCAAAAATCACAGAAGGGTTGAGGTTGGAAGGGACCTCTAGAGATCATCTAGTCCAAACTGCTCAAGCAGGGACACCCAGAGCACAGGGTAGCACCCAGGCAGGTTTGGAAGATTTCCAGAGAAGGGGACTCCACAACCTTCCTGGGCAGCCTGTTCCAGGGCTCTGTCACCCTCACAGGAATGAAGCTCTTCCTCACRTGGAGATRGAACTTCYTGTGTTTCAACCTGTACCCACTGCCCCCTTGTCCTGTCACTGGCCACCACCAAGAAGAGTTTGGCCACTTCCCCTCAAGTACTTACACATATTGATCAAATCTCCTCTCAGTCTTCTCCAGACTTAACAGGCCTAGCTCACTTAGTCTTTCCTCACAGAATATAAGCTCCAGTCCCTTAATCATCTTTGTCRCTCTCCGCTGGACCCTCTCGAGAGGCTTCACCTCCCCCTTGTCCTGGGGAGCCCAGAACTSCYCCCAGTGCTCCAGGTGCGGCCTCACCAGAGCTGAGTAGAGGGGCAGAATCMCCTCCCTTGACCTGCCGGCAACACTCCTCCTGATGCAGCCAGGACCCCATTGGYCTTCTTGGCCACGAGGGCACACTGCTCACTCATGGGTAACTTGGTGTCAACCAGGACTCCCAGGTTTCCCTCTGCCGAGCTGCTCTCCACCAGGTCAACACCTAATCTGTCCTGGTGCCTGGGGTTATTCCTCCTCTGCACTTGTCCTTGTAGAACTTCATGAGGTTCCTCTCTGTCCAACTCTCCAACACGTCCAGGTACCTCTGAACAGCAGCGCAGCCCTCTGCAGCGTCAGTCACTTCACCCAGTTTTATATCATCACATTCTTTAAGTGTTCATGTATGCAGTAGAAAAAAATAAAAGCACCTAAAGTTCTGTCAGACTTCCGCAGTACAGAGTCAAAGAGATTTATTTCTGTATCTTTTCAAAAATTCCCTCCACTCCTCCAGAAATGGAAAAGTCTCTACAAAATGTTTCAGTCTTACAAAACTGTACTTTTCAGTCAGAAGCTGTTCCACCCAATCTTTCCTCCCCACCAAGTTCAGCTTAACTCATAAAAAAAAAATCTACTGATTACTATTATAAACAAGTGACACACCCCATATTTCCTAAGCATAAAAATAAAAAATACTGAGAATGGTAAAATATAAAGAAAACTAGTGCTGCCTTCTATGAATTGCAAATCCAAATCCTAAACTTGACAAAAATGTGTCTTTAAAAATGCAAATGTAGTGTTTTCTTTAAGTTCTACCTGATCTGCACAGGAAGTGAACTATGAAAATATATTCCATTTCAGCTCTTGGCTCCTGACTCAGAGTACCACATAAAAATTGTGCAATACCCTCCTGCAGTGTTTCAGTCCTTCATTCAGGCTTTACGAGTTCCTCCTCCTGCCCCCTCAGTATATTGGATGCAAGTGCTGTTCCTCTTGCTGGTCCATGCCCTTGACCTGCCTGCTCTTCTGCTGGACCTGATATGACTTGCCTCTCAGCTCCACGTCCCATCAGCTGATTTCCAGTTATGTCAGATCCTTTCCCTTCTCTACATGCAGGGCAGACAGAAACAGGCTACAGCACACACTGCCCTAGCACTGTCACCACACTGATGTCTGCTGACATGAAACTGCTTGGCTGATTCATCCCAAATACAATACTCAAGTGGTTTCTTTTCATCACAGACTGAATAGCTAATTTCTTCTGCTTGTGTCTCTGGTTGCACATGACAAAGCTTAATCAGCCTTGCAGGAGGCCTCTCCAGCACCGCTCACTGCTGGAAGTGCGACTGGAAGAGCATCCACTCAGGCACAGGTGTTCAACTTCTCCTAGCTTGGCCTACAGCAATTAGGGTGTTAATGAGCTGAGTAGGAATACTCCTATTCCACTTGGTTGTATCATTTTTTCGTATTCATTCCTGTAGGCCACCTCTGTATAAAAATGCTGAGTTAAAAGAGTTAGGTTACCATATCACCAAAAAAAGCTGATCACATTTCTTCACTGTGAGGGTGACAAAGCACTGGAACAGGCTGCCCAGAGAGGTTGTGGAGTCTCCTTCTTTGGAGATCTTTAAAACCCGCTTGGATGCAGCCCTGTGCCACGTGCTCTAGGTGACCCTGCGTGAGCAGGGGGGTTGGACTCRATGACCTCTGAGGTCCCTTCCAACCTTCGGCATTCTATGATTCTATGACATTAGAAAGTCTTACAATATTAGTTTCTAGAACTTAACTTTCTATGGATTCATGTTTACATGCATACACCAATTAAAACCCACTGAATTCACAYACTTTTACATATGCAGTGACGGAAAGCATCCAAGATTCAGCTACAGACACCATGCATGCATACAGCTTTGTGCCCAAGGAAGAAATATGAAATATATACTCCATATATAGCTTACATTTTCCACCTTTAAAAAACAAAGCCATGACAAAAATAAAGTTAAAATACAAACACTTAAATTCCTCACACAGTCTGTCTTACCTTGACTGTTTGGCATCAGACCTTCATATGCCAGAAGTTTCACAGATGGAGGTTCAAGTGCCCAACAGACACAATAAGGGCTAGATTTTCAAAGATTGTCACTATATGAGGAGCTGGTGTCTTTTGACTTCAGTCTAMCCTATCACTTATTATGATTTCCATGGGAAAATATTGTTAAAAAAATATCTATGCAAGACAGACATTTTTGGAAAAGCTCTTAGACCTTATATTTTTAGAGCTTGTTTCCAACAAAGGATCCTGTTGCTATCAGCTTAGGTGGCAAGTGATAAAATACAACAATGCTTCAATCTCAACTTTACCACACACAGACTGAACATCAGGAAGAGCCCTGACTGTTGTGAAAGTTGCACTATTCCTGGTGGAAACATTGTTCATTTGCCTGTGTGTCATTCTGAGGCCATTCCTGAAACATCAAGGAGAATCCTCTCTTGGGGAAGTAAAGGGGAAAACTTTGCAGAATTTGTCTCAGACAGTGTATGAAAACAGCAATGATGAAGCATTTTGCTCCCAGATTAGTCAAAACTGAAGTTTGAAACAATGTATAGGTCCTGCTTTCCTCTGATTTCATTTGGATAAATCTAACTGCTGTCAACAATACTTCACAAACGAGTAAGGACAGTAACCTATTTTTTCTGGGCTTATTTGTTTTAATATATATAATATATATATATACACACACACACACACTCATCTGTGTATTCTAGTTGTGGAAAAAAAACTCAAAAAGTGTTATCATGTCTTTTGGAAAAAAAAATACATACATAATCTTATTGGTTACTTTAACTGTTATACCATAGCTCAGTGATACGTAAACAAGTGATATTGGAGGAAGATTTCCATGACAAGCTTTTCATCAAAGAGAGATTTTAGGCAGAAAATCCAATCAATTCCTATTTGAGAGGTAGCATTTGTACTCTAGTTCTGAAGACACAGCATTAACAGTACAAATTTACAAAATTAGAATGCTGAAATCAAAGCACATTATGACTTGAGAAAGYTAAGAAAAGGAAACAACAGTATTTACCACTACATATACAACCACACTAAAGAAAAACAAGAGAAAACTTGCATCTAATTTGTTGACTTATACTTAATATAGACAAGTCAGCCACTTTCTGAATTTTTACCTCAAGTACCAGCCAGAGCTGATCTCCATTTTTCACATCTTTCTTATAGTACATGCCGTAGAACTTGACTACATTGGGATGATCAGAGAGAGCTTGCAGAATGTTATACTCGGCTTCAATTTCTTCATCAATATCCTAGTGCCACAAACGAGAAACACAGCAGTTAGCAAAGCCATGACATGCATGCAGCACTCACACACACCACAGAGGGCTTTCAGGCCATTACGAGGCTTGGCTCTGTGTATCCAGTACAAAGGAATCACCTGTTTTTTACTGGATCTTTCGCCAACTTTGGCTAAAGCACAAAAGATGTCAGAGGGGCCCCAGAAGTTGGGAAAGTTGCATTTCAGGRTAGCCACATCTGGTGAATAAAAACCCACATGAAGTCACTTCAACCCCCAAGTGGGTTTGAAGGAGTTGAGTTTTGGGGGCAGATGTCTCGGGGTATCCAGAAATCACAAGTTATTTCTCTGGTCTCAAGGCTGTCTCTGGCTAGAAACAGTGCAGCTGGAATTACTCCTTTTCCCCCTTCTGTGCACAACCAAACTGCTCGGCAGCCATATTTTATTATTTTTGGAATCCTCTGGAATCCTCTGGAAACTTTTCTAATATCATCCCTGCTATCATAGAAACTAACGATATCCACGATCTCCTTGGCTTCTCCCTCTGGTCTACAAGAATAGTGGCTTTTTGTCGGTCTTTTGTTACAGATTTAGGATTTCTTACATAATGAGGGAAGCCCTCTGGGAGGCAGGAGGGGAGGACAAGGCTTGTCAGCCTTGCACCATATCCTGCATAAGCCCTTTCAGACCAAACACAGGTGCCAGCGACTGCAGGCATTGGGCAACTCAAGTGACTCCTTCCCTCTGAGTCCTGGAAGAGCCCAAAGAAAGATGCTAGCAGAGTGGTTCAATCCTGCTGAGAAGGTATTCAACCCATCCTGGTCACAGGATGAGGGGGACCATCTGCAGCCTGCCCCTCCACTGTTTAGTTCTTGGGGTTAAAAAAAAAAAAAAAAAAAAAACACCAGTTATACTATTAAATCCATTGGAAGACATAAAAGGTGAAAAAAATCAATTTTAGAGGCAGGATATGAAAGCCATTAACCACACCGCAGTATAAAGCATTTATTCAGTACTGAAAATCTCCTGCCCCACAACCACTAAATGGAAGTGACAGCAGTAGAGAAAAAGAATATCCCTAGCAACAGATATTTCCTCTCAGCACAATCAGCACCACAACTATCTGTCCCTACATTGCCACATGAGAGTTTCACTCACCTGTTTCCTATACAGATATCTCCAACATTAAAACWAACATATGATTTTCATATTTGGCCACTTTTTGGCAGGTCTCAAAGAATTTCCCCCTTTTTTTCTCCCTTCTGCAGTATATGGAGGAATTGGACTGTTAAATTTTCACATTCACATTAYAACACTAAGTCCTCTCACAAGGCCAGACTTTACAGACTTCTCACTGGAGCAGGGAAAAAAMTGTTTTCCTTTTCTCCTCTCTTTTCAGAAAGGAAGAACTCACTTTACGTTAATTTCTCATCAGCACAACACAGAATATTGCCAAAAAATAAGACTAGAAGAAAGGATGAAAGAACCAAGCCATTTAAGAGGGAGAGGGAAGAAAGAATGGAAGATAGGGAGGGGATGAAGAAAGATAATCTGGTAAAACAGAAGGAGAAATCAAAGTGAAACACCAGAGAGACAAAATCTAAAAACTATACTAAAAAGATATGGTTGCCTTGGGGAAAGTGGAAGAGAATTAGCTCTGTGTCCTACTGTGATTTAATAGACGTATCTTTCTCCTGAAGGATACTCAAATTTTATGAAATTTTTACCATTATGAGGAGAAATGGAAAGAGGAAAAAGAAAATGAATAGAATATTAATTCTATCCATAATGGAAAGGAAAAAAATATCATCCCCTGCATTTTATGAGAGAAGAAAACTTGGTAGTTTGGTTGAATTTAACATATAGCTACACAGAAYATAGCAAAGGAGAGCACCTCTTTTAGAAACAGCACAGGAATGTCTTCATGTGAAGTTAAACACAGGCTAATATGGCTTGGAGTCCTAAAGTGCAACAGTATTTCCAAGGAGCCCTGAGGACAAAACTAAGAACATGCTCAGTCTCATCTTCATCTGCTCTCAACACCTTCATTTACCTGGTCAGCTTCAAAAATCTGAGCTGATATTCAGAGAATTTGAAGGGTCTAAAAGAATTAAACATGAAATGCTTTCCTCAAATCACACACCACCTAAATAAGGTAATTTCYTATATCAATTTGCCAATATCAGTTATAGTTGGTGATAAAAGCACTCCCATAATCTTTTTAAGTCTACCTTAAGTCACATAATGCAGAATTTATTTTCAAAGAAAAAAAAMCACAAAATGTAAAAGAAAAATCTCTAAAGCACTTTTTCTTCTTCATYGCAATGGCTCCCTCTGCAGCCACCAATAATACTTTGTTTCTACAAACAGGCAGCCTAGTAAATTCCCTTCACTTGTTTCTAACATTCTAACCTTCAATAGCTATTCCAAGACATCCCACAAATAGGATGGAGTAAAAGGATAGTTTAAAATAAAAAGGTGTATATATTCAGTTRAAAATTAAGGTCCCTGAGTTTAATGTTGACTGCATTACTGACTACATTACTATCAACTACACATCCTCAGTTCACCTCTTTGGCTACTGAACAAGCCATCTTTTCCACTAGAAATTTCACTGTGGGGGGGAATCTAATTTTCAAATAAGATGAACTTCTCAAAAACAAAGCGTCTACSTTCTTTGAAAAATACCAGGAATGTGCTAGAAGACTACTTTTTCCAATGTATTCAATTGAAAATTCCCACTTTATGGATGTCAGCTAACTACTAGGGTTTCTATCACTTAAGATGAGACAAAAATAATTTTCAAGTCATCTCAAGAACAAACATACATATATATATATACGGTTTTCCAAAGAAACAACAAGGAGATGGTACTCAATCCAACTTTTTCATTAAAGGGACCTGGTTTTAACAGTTCTAATTTTTTCCTCCTTAAGTTTCCAAAGTTGCCTCTTTACCCCAGGTACCTCTCTTACTTCTTCTGGCTTCTTCACATTCTATTCTTTACATTTCTCCTCCTAGCAGAATCTTTATTTCCTCCCATTTTCAACCTTTTCCTTTTTTATTACAACTGTCAAAGACTATACAACATTGAAAGTTTTCCCAATTCCTTCAATGGTCCCCTCTACAACTAGTTGCTGGTTGAGAATCATTCCCGAGTTCCTGTAAAAACAGACTGTAGTAGAAGCATTTCCTGCCTCACAGGCATTTAGATGAACACCAACTGCAAGCCAGTCCTGCTTATTCAAAACAAATAACTTTGTTTACGTAAAGCAACAGAGTCGAAATTGTTCACAGCACATTTGAATTCACAGCGATCCTTATCGCTCGGCTGTGAATCATGGTTGCTTTTGACGAGGTCTGTGATGCTGAAATGAGATGAGCCCTTGGTGCTGCTTTGAAAGCTTAGYGAGGGGAACAGCACAGCAACAGGGAACATACAAGTAACGCAAGAGAGTGAACACATTTCATGGAGTTAACGTCCATGGGTCTGTAGTTTGATGGCCATTGGCCCAGGCCTCGTGTGAGGCCGTGCAGGCCCGGAGCGCAGGCCGCAGCACGCGAGGCAGGACGTGCTCYTCTTCCTCCCAAGGATCTCACCATGCAAGAACACAGGACTCATGACTACAGGAGCCATTTGGCTGKCAAGGTAGCAACAACAACTCCTCTGTGTTTTGCAGGTTACAGTTCTTGAGAATCCCAAGCAGCCAGGTGCAACACYACCAAAGACAATGGGGTCTGCCTCTACAAACCAGATTAATGTGACAAAATTCTTCCCAACTCCGAACATTAATTTGCCACCGAAGAAGTGCAAGTTATTGGGAACAAAACACGCTCTACAACATAGCAATTTCAACTCCTGTTTGCCTGGTACTTTATGTGTAGAAGTTATTGCCTGTATATTTTGCACTTGAAAAAGATGAACATTTTCTGATATTTAAGTACTTTGACACATTCTGAAAATTCAGAAGCAATAACAAAGTCCTATTTTGTTCTGTTTTTGAAGTGTCACTCATAACATGTCACTCAGCTAGAAGCATGCACTCAAAACATATGGCTTAAGGCACATACTACATGATACCTACTAACCATAGGAAGGTCACGTATTTTTAAATGTAAAAGGAAAAGGAGTAAGAGCAGAGCTATGAGATATTGGTACTCCATATTCAAAATCCATATTCCATATTCAGATCTTTTTCCCCCCCCCCCGAAAGTAAAAGATAAATATGAGAGAAGTCAAAGATAAAGTTATCAAGTTCAGTTCTCTTTTTGACTTTTATCGTAAGTGATCTTGGTAGTGGCCACATTATCAAGTGAATAATGCTTTGATGGCTAGAAAATATAGTTTAGTTAATAGATTGAAGCAATTTGTTTCCCTATGAATTCTATACAATAGATCAAGCTTAAAGAAAAAAGATTACATAATAAATTAAGTTACGGTTGAACATGAAATAGAAATACAAGTAATTTAAGTAGCTTACGTGAACAGGATCCAAGATTTTGACTGCTGCTTTGCTGCCATTTTTCTTATTTAATACCTTGAAAACTTTTCCATATGTTCCTTTGCCAATAGTTTCAATTATTTCCCATGTGTCTGACGGGTCAGGAAAACTATCAAATATTATTGTTTTCCCAGTTAACGGAAGCATCTCAATAGCCGGTTCCTAAGAAGAAATGAGAGTTTCAGTATTCATTGAATAAATGATTAATAACAAGTGACTCACTACAAATATGAAAAGAAATATATATCCCTATCTCAAATACTAGAAATGTTTTTGCACACAGGAAACATATACTGAAAGCTCAAGGAACAAGGAAGACTRCACTTAATACACATGTGCAGCCAGCTCAGTATCAAATGAAGGGAGATTCAAATGACCCTCTGGACAAACTTCAGGTCTGGGRGAAGTCAGTGGGAACTTTCCCATAGACCTCAATAAAGTTAAAGCGTTACTCTTTGCTCACAGATTACTGTTACATAAAAGCTGAAAGAATTTGGCTCTAGTGGGAAGAATCAGGAAGCAAGAGTGAAAAATTCTCTTAAGGAGCAGCATTAGATTCATTCAGACTTTAATAGTAAACAATTTTATAATCTCACTCTGAATATTTTCATTTTTATGTATACTTTATATAGATTAACCTCAACAGATCTGTTCACAGTACTACAGTTTCCTAAAGAGAAAACATTCACAGTCATGAAAAATATGCTTACTGATATATATTCATTAAAACCTATTTTACATACCATAAAGGAAAGATTACACCTTTGCCTTGGTCAATGATGGATAAACTTCACTATTACTGTTCACACTGGCATTCAAAATTTACATATTGTTTAAAAAGTAGGCAAAAAGCAGAGGACACCCCCTCACCAAGAAAGCCAACCTTTACCAGGCATTAAAACACTCAATTTATACTGTACTGAGCCAGTGCCATAAATTACACTATGATACTGTATTGCTTTTTTAATAGGGAACTCAATGGCTTTAGTTTCATCAGTGACTTTCCCCATGCTGGCCATAGTTTCTTTATTCAGCAGTACATATATCAACTAGACCTAGCTGAAATGGACAACTATACAAACATTATCTTTGAATTATCCCTTTAAATTATCAGAACTGCACACTGCCACTTCAGGCATATTTTAGACTAATTTTCCACTGGATGATACAAGCTCTTYGGGGGACTTTAATTTCCTGATTATTCCTGCTGTTCTGCTCTTGGTTGCTTAGTTCACTAATCAGTCAGAAGATTTTTCTTCTTTTTATTTTATAAAACCAACATGCAACTATATTATCAATCTCTATATTAGCTCAGGCAGCAAAGTGGGGAAATACTCCCCTAACACCAGGAAACCTATAGAGTCTGTTGCCCCAGGAATAGTGGTCAAGCATCTTGATTTCAAGGGCCGTGGGAATAAAATGACCTAATTTTACCTGGTACTGTGAAATCTCCCATAACACAAATCCAGGTTAAGGTCAAAGGAGAGATAAGCTTATTTATATAAAGGATCAAGACTTGGAGACATGAAGCTTTTGCATGCAAATCTCCGAATTTCCATTCCACATTCAAGATTTTCTCTATCCTTCTACCTAACCCTCCACCAGGATTCCTATAAACATTACTCAGTCAGGCTGCACTTTCTGAAGACCTTTCCACCTCATACTTAGCACTCATCCATACCTTAAGAGGCATTACCATTTCCAGTCAATACCATCTTTTCCAGAGAATCAACAAAAATAATACTAACACTTCTGATTCATGAAACTTCCCCCACCCCGTTCACCCACAAAATGGTACTCAAAGATAAGGGTAAACTGTTTTTACATGCACTGTGTATAGCTTTTAACAGACTATACAAGATAAAAAAATCTTTTGAGGTGATAATGGAATTGTGATTCATAATTCCAAACTCTTGCTTTCAGTAATATCGCAGTGACAGAAGTTCTGAGCACTATTTTTTAAAATTCAGGTTACCTATTTGTCTAGCATGGCAAATTTTGTGGGGTGAAAGGGATTAAGGAGCCATCAACAAAGACCTTCTAGAGAACAGAGGTGTTCAACTCATACTGGTGTCTGTCTACATACAGATTCTTGTCTGGAGAATACACAGAAGTCCATCAAGATTTAGGCCCTCCTATGTCCTATAGGAGTGCACAGTAAGAGTCCCTGACCCAAAGAGCTTATTCTAGGAGATATGTGAAAGTTGAAAGAAAAGATGACTATTACCTCAGTTTTAAGCTAAAAGAATACCAACATGTAGGAATTCAAAGCTCAGCTTCACATATTTATTCTAGGGCAGAGTCAGACAGAATCATAGAATATTCAAGCTTGGAAGGGACCTCTAGAGATCATCTAGTCCAACCTTCCTGCTCAAGCAGGCACAGGGTGGCATCCAGGCGGGTTTGGAAGACCTCCAAAGAAGGAGACTCCACACCCTCCCTGGGCAACCTGTTCCACTGCTCTATCACCTTCACAGTAAAGAAGTTCCACCTCACCTGGAGATGGAACTTCCTGTGCTCCAGCTTATGGCCATTACCCCTCGTCCTGTCACTGGCCACCAGTGAAAACAGCCTGTCCCCTTCCTCCCTGCATTCTCCCTTCCTGAACTTATACATGTTAATCATATCCCCTCTGAGCCTTCTCTTCTCCAGAGAAAACAGGCCCAGCTCACTCAGCCTCTCCTTGTACGGGAGATGTTCCACTCCCTTAATCATCTTGGTTGCTCTTCTCTGGACCCTCTCCAGAAGCTCCACGTCTCTCCTATACTGGGGAGCCCAGAACTGCCCCCAGTGCTCCAGGTGCGGCCTCACCAGAGCTGAGTAGAGGGGCAGAATCCCCTCCCTTGACCTGCTGGCAACACTCCTCCTGATGCAGGCCAGGATGCCATTGGCCTTCTTGGCCACGAGGGCACACTGCTCACTCATGGTTAACTTAGTGTCMACCAGGACTCCCAGGTCCCTCTCCATGGAGCTGCTTTCCAGCAGGTCGACCCCTAGTCTGTACTGGTGCCTGGGGTTATTCCTCCCCAGGTGCAGGACTCTGCACTTATCCTTATTGAACCTAACTACCTTATTGAACCTAACTATCATACGCAGTTCAATAATTTAGGAATACTGTTCTAGAAAGAAATATTTAAACTAATCCTTGGTCTTTAGATGTACAGCTTCAACTGTTGATTTGAATAAATTATATTGATAATATAAGTTATAACATATATAGATAATGTAAGTTACATAGATGTACAGCTTCAACTTGTTCAATGACTTGAACAAGTTATATTGAACATTCTTTCCTCACTTCCACCACATTTAAGAACAAGCCCTAGCATACAAATTGTTCAGCTTTCACTTCTATTATCAAAATATATTAAATAGAATGATTTCAAGTCTTCTGAGTGATGAATAATGGTTTATTACATCTTTAGTGTAGTTGAGATAGCTGATAATGGTTTAATCTCATATTTCAAAAAATATAGGACTGTCTCTGAAATATGTCTGGGTGCCACAATAGCTGGGTAATTTATCATAGTCCTCACTATTAAAATTTACTTCAGAAACTTGACCCAACTTATTACTTGACCCAAATTTCTGAGCTATGAATGTACCCTTGAACCTCTATAAAAAACTTCCAAAACACCTCTCAGTACGCTCAGGAAAAATAACTAAATGCACGGGTTTTTTTTCCAAAACAAGCAAAAAAGGCAGTTTTGGAGTTGAAAAGAAGCCCACTTCACATATGTGTACATGTGTGCCAAACAGGTGTATCTGGTGCCGGTGATTTGGCTGGAACACAGAATGGAGAAGGGTTTTTTTCCCAGGTGAGCCAGCCCTAGGTGATTTTTAATGGCACAGGTCATGTTACCAAACATACAGCCTGTATGCAGCAGATCTCAGCCCACTTAGCAGAGACGCTCAGAGACACCTCAAGCCATATCAGAGAGCAAATTTCAGTATTCCCCATCAGTTTCAACATCTAACTTGAATGGAAGGAGCAAAGGAGCAAAGAAAGGGAAGGGAAGATATCATGAAACATGCTTGTAGGCCATTACACGGACGCCATGGCAGCTCACTGAAGTATGGCTATTATTAAAAGAAACCATAAAGAGAAATTCAGACCTCTGCAAAATTGTCCTATGGAAGGCTTTATGGTCAAGACCACAAAGCATGAACAGTGCTAAGCAGGAATAGTTCCTGCTTCTGCAACCTGGCTTGCAAGCACAATAGACCCTAAATCTCACATTAGAACACTGCATTTTACGTTGATATTTGTAATAGTTTAAAAAAAAAAAAAAACCTACCTCCCTCCCCGCAAAAAACCCTCAGCATTCTAAGTTTTACTATTAAAGTTCACTACTGCCTTCATTAAAGTTCACTACTGCCTTCATTAAAGTTCACTACTGCCTTCATTAAAGTTCACTACTGCCTTCATTAAAGTTCACTACTGCCTTCAACCAGCCCCCAATTAGTTTCTGAACACACTTACTCATCATGTAAACCCAAAGCACAGGAATTTCCTCTGTAAGCAGCTGAGAATAAGAGCATTTGTCCATACAGTTCATCCTACTCCATATACGGAGCCTAGGTGATTAGTAACGTAGGTGCTTATTCATATATGACTTAAATATGCAGCCTTTACGTTCTTGGCAGCATCTTGTCTCCTTGTAAACACTCTTGTGTTTACTAATCTTGACAATTACACTTATGGATTCAATTTAAAATCCACCTACTCAGATCTTCATAACTCCTATTTGTCCACATTATTTCCTCTTTCCATTACAAACACTACTTCTGTTCAACCAGACAGGTCTTGCACAAAGSGTGACCCTGCAATTTCTCCATCAGCTTCCCATTTTGTCAGGGGAAGCAGATGTCAGCAGGAGCTGACAACACTAGSTCGCATTGCCTGTTTGGTCCAATACCACTGCAGAAGTGACATTTTCACACTGTYCAGCACTGCTTCCAATTCTCAAATCGGAATCTCCTGCCTACTGGATGCCCCCCAAAAAGCAAGCATTGCTCACACAGAGATTGGTGAGGCTTTTTATCTCAAACAAAAATATTCCTACTATACCTCATGTTTCCTTCACCTGTTGTCAGTAATGTCCCCTTGTGACCAAGGAGACCAAAGGTATCCTGGGGTGCATTAG